AACCCGCTCGTGGGATGTTGCAGCTTGCACATCAAAAACAGAGAACATGGGCTACTGTTAATTTATTCAATGTCCCAATTTTATATCATAACAGTCTGACTCGGTTTTCCAAAGACCCCATTAAATATGAAAATATATGAATAAATAAAATAATAAATTTACCCACCCTCATCCTTTGACATTTTAACATGCATTGTTCAATCTCCTGTATACATATATAACTATATATTTTACGCAACATCAAGGTGGTTAATCAATTTTTTTCTTTTCCAATGTTGCACGTTTTCTCAGTCATATTTGATATTTAGCTTTTCCAGTACAGGCGGCATCCTTTTAATCAATTCGTCCTTAAATGCCAACATTTTGTTATCCTTGTAGGGCACCTTCAACAATTTCTCACACTTGTTGGGTTCACCATCCAGGTTACAGTATATGCGATAATGCCGGAGATAACCATAATTTGGCGGAATATCAACTCGTGTAATATAACCGTTCAGCACACTACTGGTCACATGATGAGCGATACTGAGTGTTATATCAGCATTTATAATGCTTTTGGGGCTTTCCCAATCAATCCGTGTCCTTGTGTTATATCTCAGCATGTGAAGGTATTTGGGTACGTCTAAAGATTTGTCTGCACCAAATTCGTTCACGAAGAAACCGGCATGAAAAAGGTAACAAGAAACATTTGGATATGTCAAAAGCAAATACTTTTCAATATATTTTTTCCAGTTCGGATATTTGTCTTGGTACAACACTTCATCTATATCTTTGTTAATAATATATTTGCCGTCTGCTGAATAGAGGCAATCATTCATGGAAAGTAGTTCGATTTGCCAGTTTTGATAGTAATCAAAATGCGGAAACGTCCTGTTGAATACTTTCTTACAGAAGCGTTGTGGAAATGTGTGATCATCCACCTCAACAAATCCTTGCTGGCTGTAATACTTCATCACGTCATTGCTTTTCCCCTGGACAGAGGAATTGTACATGTAGATCTTTTCTACGCCCATCAGTTTATTTGTTTCAATCCATTCTACCAATCTTACGGGATCAGGCTGTTTGTAAACAACCTTGTTGCAAATTACAGCCTTTGGTTTTCTTTGTGATAGATACGCTTGTTTTACTGGCACATAGTGAGTTGGCTTCCCACAGAGATCTTTTGTAATAGTTACCTGCGTCGGTACTCCGATTTTATCTGTTTTTGGCAACTTACATGATATTATCACACATAAATATTCTCCTCTGTTAGGATTCCAAATATCTCTCCCTTCGCCTTTTATTGAGTAAGGGTTTCTGTAGCTATCATACCACAAAAGACAGTGCACCTCCTTCAGAAATGAGAACTCTTTCAATCGTATCATAGCGAGTATCCGCACGTAGGCGTCTCCTTGCAGAGCGAGTCTGTCATCAAAATAAGCTTTATGTAAATATAATCCTGGCGAATGTTGTTCCGAAATGAATTGTGGAACATAATCTGGATCTCGGTCGTCAATTTTCAGTCTTGTTGTATTTTTACAGTAACTATGATTTGAGAACAATGGCGGTTCTGGTAGTGCCCTGTCACTTTTAGCGGGGCCACGTGGAAAAAGCAGAAGCTCAAATAATTTCCAGACGAGATATATTACCATCAATTTCAAAATTACAGACTTCCATCTGGCGACAAACCTCATTATCCCCATTTTTTCATCAATAATTTAAAGTTTCATCACGACAAAAATAATGTAGGCCTACATGTACTACCGGTGCCCGGTGTCGTGGCAAAAGAATAGGACCTATTCAAGCAGTCGATAACGTGAAGGCCTACCAGATATATACGACTTGCCTGAGGATAAACACCAAAACACTACAGTAAAAAAAGAACGTTAATCCACGGTACATCTCTACAATACAAAAGTTACCGCAGGCTACATGAGGTCGTCACTGAATATACAGCGATAACAGTAGTTACTATAGTAGGTACATCTGATAATATTAAACATTCACATTTTGTGACTGGATTTTGTACCAGTACAGGTACATGTAAGTATCTCAACATCGTCAATTTAAAGTGGGCGGGAAAACTGCAAGCCTCTTCAACTTTCTTTTCCCACCCTTACCCTACTCATATGTACATGTGCCCTCATTCATTTATACATGTATGTCCTTTTGACCTGCATTCTTCTGGGCGAAATTATCTGAAAACTTTTATTTGCAGACCCTGTGTGATTAATACAAGTGTCGCAGTTGTTCTGTTCTATAGGTATTTTAATTAAATTGTCCTGAGGAAAAAACATGATTTCCATATTAAAGATACCCTATCCGAGGTTTTTGTAGGGGAAAAAGGAAGAAAAAACATATTGCTCGACCCGTCCTTGCTCTTATATCACAGTATCAGGTCATCGGGCTGTAGGCCTATACAATGATGATAGACTAGATAATGTCTTCGGGACAATGTCAAACGTCTAGGCCCCTATACTTTTTATATCTTGAAAGTTATAATTATTAATACTATTATATATTTTTGCACGACTTAAAAAATATACAGGCACACAAGTAGTTTTCCAGAAGAGTTTTGTGTAGCAGTTTGAACGATATTTACTCACTAACGCATGTATTTTCGTGTAAGACGATCGACGTTCAGCGACCATGACACAATCGACGTCTAAGGTAACCGCCCTTTTCTACTCCAAGTCTCCAGACCCAACTTGCGACATCCTGGGGCAACAGAAGAAAGCTACAAGCCTTGATATAATAGACGCTACATGGTT